AACTTATTATCTCAACAGTAATGTCTCATGGAGTAATGGACAATCATTTCCCCTCATTTCAAACACATTTTCCTCATAAAGCAAAAAACTATTTTTTTGTTTCGTAAGTTGTCAAATTCTTTTGATCTTTTATATCCAGTCAACCAAACTCTGAAGCTTCAGCTCTATCGGGCAAGGCAATATTGTCAAATGGGGATGACGAGAGCACTAACATGATCCAGATCTTCCACTAAATTAGGTTTACAAATACCTTACATTGTGCTTCAGTAAGAGATGAATGGACACAATTTGAAGTCTATTCATAAAACTGAATCGTTATATTGAAAATGCTTTTGATATAAATGTACAGTCGATAAGGCCATCTCCAATTAAACATTACAACTTATGTAGCCTTCAAACCACATTTTGTATATAATAGGTTTCAAAGACAAATTGCTTTTGTGTCGAATAGGTTTCCCTTTTACATACTTTGCTACAACTTTGGTTCTAGTTTGGTTTAAAAAGATTGAATGACAATATGAAATGCTGGATCTTCCTTTATTACAACATCTCTTTGTGTATAAATCATAATCAAAATAATTCACTCAGTTTCAAATAAACACTGTGGTGTTGCCTCAGTTGATTTTTTGTTTAAGAATGTGACTTTTAAAGTATATTTATTTATTTAATTTTATTTAAGTTTGCCTTTTCATCAACAACATTCTCAACGTTGAGTGCAAATCGAAAATACAGAAGCATGCGTATTGTCCGTTTTCACACCGCCTCCCAAACCCTGTACAGAACAACCCAACAGTAATTTAAAACAAACATACAAAATAGAGAAGAAACAAAATTATAAGTAAAAATATCACAAATAATAATAATAAGCAAAATAGATACTAAATGCAATTTTTTACTGTTGTCTATAGCCAATCTTTATTGTAATTTGGTTAAAAAAAACTATCAATTAGGGAAGTGTTCAGTTTTATTGTTGCATGTATGTGAAAAATGGTTGCCATGTCTTATAAAATGTCTTAAAATGTAGTTCTCCATGTCTGGCACAAATTGAGGAAGAATATTCTCAAGTATATTTATTTAATGCTGGATGTTAAAATGGTGAGTCTAAGTCTAAACAGTAGTTTCATTGGTGTCACATTGAATAAACACAAGCTAGGACATTTTTTAAAAATATATAATTTAAAGTCAGTGCATCCAAAGCTAGGACCGCTCTTATATCTATATAAGTATATACGTATATATGTAACATATACAACCTCTGGCAATCTACTAACTTCCCCAGACATCACAGACTCAGAGCCTTTACATTTATAATTCATGCTCAATAGTCATTGAAGTACTTACTAAGTAACATTTGAAAATGCCCGAAATTCCTAGCAGACTTCAAGTGGCTACATCAAAAACAGAATCTCAGAGGTCCTCATTATGCTCGTCTTGCCCCAGTTCAGCTATGAAGAAATGAACTAGAATCATGATTACCCATTTGTCACAACAAGCATTGGAATACTTTATAGAAGGTAAATGACTTAACTTAAAATGTTCAAACAAAATACTTAATTTCCTCAATGTAACACGTTTTGTCTGTTTTGTTTTCCCAAACTTGAATGATAGCTTTAACACATTTAATTACACCATGCTCTACTGCTGCACGCTAAGTACTTGGGGTTGTGGACACATTTCTAATTCCTATTATCCTTTGTGCATAATATAATAGCCAACATTATTAATTTAAACTATGAATAAATTGAATAAAGAGGTTACACGTACACACTGCAAGATTCTGATGAGATTTGGCCCCATTTAAATATTACACTCTAGATTAAAGTTTGGCTGCTATAGCCTGCTGGACAGTAATTTGGCCGAAGTAAATTTGCTAAATACATGGAGTGATGTTGGCCACATATTTTCCAAAAATGTATAGAGTAAATTGGTATATATTAATACTCCTCAAGTTCATCTATAAGGTAAACTAGACTAAAAAGATATAGCTGCTAAAGACTGTATATGCCATCTTCGTTGATATAAATAATATACATTACAGAGCTAAGCAATGCAAGGATTTCACTGTAATAGAACAATAATCCCAACCTCCCAACAGCTTCGGTCTCACACTTCCACGTCCCACTCCCCTTCGGTGTCCCACTCTCCCACACCACTGACCTCCCCCGACACATCAAATTCTCTCTCAATAAATGAAAGGGATGTAAACAGACTTTTCAAAAAACTCAATAGCAGAAAAGCGGCTGGCCCTGACAATAGGCGCATTCACACCGCAGTACTTTTCCCACAAAGGTTCATGAGAACTCTTTAGTTCTTATGAACTAAATACAGATTGCGTTCACACCGGAATAAATTCCCTAAAGGAGGATTAGGCAAATTAAGCCGCTGACGTCACTTCTTCTTCTTCTGGTTTGGGTTTACTGGGAGGCCGCAAACTTCACGGCGTACACTGCCGCCCCAAGTCCCCGGCCGGAAGTCCCCAGAGTTGGGGAATGGCTTCAGTAGAAGCTGCTTCTACTGAAGCCTTCCGAGTATATTGCCAGAACGCCGACACCTCCTCATCTCCACCGCTCCCATGTTTTATTTTGTTTTGCCATAAATTAGTCTCTCTGCGTTTCTGCGCTGGGCTAATGCTAATGCGAGGATAATAAAATGGCGGCTTCACAAAACTTTTTGGGAGTTTTACGGGGCGTGGTTTGCAATCCGCCCAGCCAATCAGACATCGGAACCTTTTTCTCCCACGAAAGTACCTGCTTTCTAGCAGGGACGGAAAAGGGAGTAAAAAAGATTCTGATGAACTAATTTTAGTTCCGGCTCTTTTGGTGTGAACGCGACATTTCGGAACTACATCGGAACTAAAGTGGGAAAAGTACTGCGGTGTGAACGCGGCTAATGTCTCCCCCTCCACCCTGAAGCTCTGTGCTGATCAGCTGTCTCCTGTATTTACTGACATCTTTAACACCTCACTGGAGACATGCCACGTCCCAGCATGCTTCAATACCTCCACCATCATCACCAAGAAAACAAGGATCACAGGATTAAATGACTACAGACCCGTCGCCCTGACCTCTGTGGTTATGAAGTCCTTTGAGCGCCTTGTCCTGTACCACCTAAAATCCATCACAGACCCACTCCTGGACCCCCTGCAGTTCGCCTACAGAGCCAACAGGTATGTGGACGACGCTGTCAACATGGCCCTTCACTTCCTCCTCCAGCACCTGGATACAGCAGGAACCTACGCCAGGATCCTGTTTGTGGACTTCAGCTCCGCCTTCAATACCATCATCCCGGCTCTGCTGCAAGACAAGCTCTCCCAGCTGCACGTGCCCGACTCCACCTGCAGGTGGATCACAGACTTCCTGTCTGACAGGAAGCAGCACGTGAGGCTTGGGAAACACGTCTCTGACCCCCGGACCATCAGCACCGGTTCCCCTCAAGGCTGCGTTCTTTCCCCTCTTCTCTTCTCCCTGTACACCAGTGACCACCAACTGGCGGCCCGCGGGCCACATCCGGCCCGCCAGACATTCTCATCCGGCCCGCACGACGGGGGTGACTGTGGCGTTGGCGGAGTGGTTAGTGCGTTCGCCCCCCACTAATTTTTTGTACAACGTCTCGTGAGTAATGTGCAGTACCGGAGTCCAACAGAGAGACAGCAGCTGCGGGAAAGAAGAAGTGATCCTTCTTTGTGAAGAGTCTGCTTTTTGCGCTCCGCGACAGTAGCCCCGCTGCCACAGAATCCAACAGAGAGGCAGGAGCTTCGTGACAGTAGCCTAGAAGTGATCCTTCGTTAGCGTGAATAGTCTGCTAAGCTTTACGCGCTCTGCAGTAAAAAAAAAGAACGCAGCCCCACCCGCCCAAAGCCCGGTGATAGAAAAAAGGGACGGGCGGAAAAAAAGTGCTCAGGACCCTCGTGTACGTCGCAGGCACCTCGGAACCTACCGGTCTAATGTCGGCTAGTGTGAAGAGACGTCCCTCGCCTACCTGTGCGACGTCGGACGGGGAACGAGGAACCGACACCGACGCCGGTTATGGTCTACGCACCTACCTCCTCCACTCCTACCCCTGAGATACTACCCTCCCCACATCTAAAAGTGGTAGTAAACAGAAACCGAGTCCCACTTCAAAGAAATCGACCGGAGTCTTCTTGTAGGACGACGACGCCGAAAAAACTGCTCACAGGTAAACTCCAGGACCGCCCCTACTACCACGGGTTCCTTCCCCTTTCTGTTGTGTTCGCCACTCAGTGGT